AGAAACCTATCATTTTAAGGGGGGGATAACTAACATTTTGGGGGGGTGCAGTCCTGTCTGGTTGGGTATTACTGTCTGATGTCTATTCTGTTGTCTCATCACGCACGATTCTATGTCACATGTCGGCTGAATTGCACTTTATTTAATTTCTGATAATATTTGAGGCGATTGTTGTGTTTATTTCAGTATTTTTCTCCGGGATTTGCACTATATTTAAAGTCAGAGAATCCCCCGAGACCCTGAAATCTGGATCTCTGTGTTCGTGGACTGTGCAGTGAATGTATATTTTGTTTTATTTGGGTTCCTCTCCACGACGTCTCCTTGTATCAGAGCTCCTCTGTCATCGATCTTTAGCCGGGATCATCACATGTGTTGTGTTTGTCTTGGTCCTGAGGCGTTCATTGGTTGTCTTTCTGTAGGAGACACTTTTGTTGGAGGAGAGAAGGAGATGCCGGGACATAAATGGCCTCATTGTATTGGCAGTTTATTTCCAGGCCGGTCCCAGGAGGCCAGACTCCCTCTATATGCCGGCCTTCTGGAAGTCGGAGAACACACGGGACCCCCTTTCCTTTACCACAATATGGCGGTTCCCAGGGCTGCTAAGCATGGCATTATGTCGGGGCTTAAACATTCCGCTCCTGAGCTGCTAGCCCGGCCTTAAAGAGTTACTCGCCACCAGTTGCCCCACCTAACCCCTACCCTGCCCTTAACTCCGCCCCTAAACACGCCCTCTTAAATGATCTTATGATAGTTGCCGCTTGTAAATGGCAGATTAGGGATTCCTGCTGCAGGAAAACGCAAGTTCCTAACGCGGGAATCCCTAATCACACCTAAACATACAGGTGTGAATGGGGCCTAATATATACATACAATAATACACTTCCCAACGTTACCCACTCACCCCCCCCCCACAAATAAAATAATACACTCCCCCATGTCGCAAGTCCCCTGCACACAGAAAATAATACCCTCACCTTCCACCCCCCACATATAAAATAATACACCCCTTCCTTCCCCCCCTCACCTGCTTAGATCTCCAGGGAGGAGGCACGATGGATCCCTGCTCATCTAGGGGTAGATTAGTGTGGTCTGCAGACCTCACTAATACATCCTTTCTTTCGGCCGGAGCTCAGAACTGTCAGAGCCTCAGCCGAAGGAAGCCGGAGCTGACGGGAGCTGCTCTGCGGTCTGACAGAGATGCAGACCGTGGAGCTGCTTCCGCAAGTAAGGTACGCGGTCCGTGCCTGACTTGCCAGCGTGCTGTGGGTCACATAGTACGGGCTTAGGGCCGGTACTTTGAGACCTCAGTTTCCACTCCCCGTCACTGTATTTCCACTTGCCAAATGCGAGCAGGCGAGTGGAATCTTTGAGCCCTGCATTATGTGATGTAGGCGGGTCCTCTTCTCTGCCTCTCAGACTTTATATTACCTAAACAATGAAGTTGTGGTTTGTATAGAGTGCCTCAGATTGACCAAGAGTGACCCGAGTGTATTCTGCAACCCACAATGGACCTGCCAGTATTTTCATACTCTGTTGTATATGAGCGCCATGTATATGTGATCTGTTACCACCACGGCCGTTATGAGGGGAAAATCTTGGCCAATGTCAAAGGCGCTCCATCCATTTCCTATCTCCCGCCCCCCGGTACAGTACTGTTCTTATACTTCAGCAAGTATCCGGTGTACTTCACCTCCCCCGATGGTCATCTCTCTCCAGTCAAAGCTCTATTATTGATGCCATTCACCCAATTTGTTCACACACGTGTTTTGGGGTCTCTGGCGGCACTCTGGGTGGTCCTGTCTTCTGTTCTTTGGAAGGCTTTATGTTGAAGGTTTGTGGCCATCACAGATTTGGAGTTAGGAGTGGAGGAGGACTCGGTCTGGTTGTAGAGGAAGGGCCCAGCATGTCAATGTGTGGGTATTGTATGTACACCAGTTAGGGCCAATGACGTCTGTGTCCCCCCTCCCCCCCCGGCCCATGTAGAGTTCACATCAAATTGTCTGTTTTATTCTGACCGGTAATAAATGTCTGTCGGATCCGTATCTGTGTTGTGTCATTATTACAAAGAGGAAGAGAAGTCACATGAGAAGATCTGGTTGGTTCAGCATTGTCATGGTGGACATGCGCAGTGTCATCACATCCCGGGCCTCGCCCTGTTCTTCCTTCTGGAAGTTTCCTGCCCAATGGATTGTACTCAGGTTGTGGCTGACCTGGGGAAGGTAGTATACAGTAGGTCCATGGGAAAAACCTGCTTCAAGAAGGTCAATGCTGATGGCTTCAGGATCTTCTTCCTCACTCGGCTCAGATGAGGAATTCCATAATATACAACTGCTGACCGGGCTAGGAACAAACTGCACGACTCTCAGAGCGCCACTGAAGATGAGGAGAAGGGCCGCAATGTTTGGACGGGGTTGTTCTGCTGCTCCTCCGCATAACTGTTTGGTCCTAATAATGGTCTGAAGTATTCTCAAAGAGAAGTAGACTGAGGTGTCTTCGCTGGACACTCGATTTCCACCCCAATGTAGTTGGAACTTGGCAGCCACACGGAGAAAGGATTTCTGTTGGGTCAGGGCACAAGGTGGGGGGCAGAAGGTGGGGGGCAGTTTGGTGACAGAATATACCCGGATCCTGAGGTGAGTCCTTGCCGGCATAATCTATTTCTGGAAAAGAAGTGTCCCCAAAGTGTAGAACTAGATGGTGGTGGACACACAACAAAAGAAGCCCGTGCCCACCTCTTGTACACTATGAACCTTGGGTCTGACCTGCCGAATGTGCTTGTATGAAAAATACGGCAGGGAGGGGCTTGACACAGCGATTGTTACTGCACAAAACCCTATTCGTATGATTTCTTCTTCACCTCCACAAACTGATCAACATTACCCAACAAATCCCTCATATAATCTGCATGGGGTGGGTCAGGCTGAAGATCTGTTTACACCCTATACAGATGAATGCTGCCATCTCCTGCCCCCACCATGCAGTCCTAATCACGGGGCCCCTCTACACATGTCCAGTTCTGGGTGTACGGAGGCCGAGATCCTCCAATCTGCACTTCTGTTGGGGGGCAGCACTGGACATGAGAGGGGGGTGAGTGCAGCTTGGATATTTATCATGTAAGCTTGCTGTATGTAGGACATCACCGGTCATACTGGAAGGGTTATATTCTATCTGCTATGAGGAGTTTGCACTCCATGTGACAACGAGGAGATCCGGGACCTACAAATAGCGGACCTCCCATCATAAGAAATGACAAGACTCCACGTTCCACCATCTCCTGTCCATGTGCCTTCTCACCCGCCCTCCAGCTGTATATGACTGTAGGGTTATGGTCTAGGATGGGGATCAGCAGCTCAGTGCTCCTCAGCTGTGGTTGTAGGATTGTGTGTCCATGTGACGTCTGATGAGCCGCCTCGAAGAGTTGTAATATGGTCACTGCCATGGCGGCTCAGGGGTCAATGCTCTCCACCATCGCCAGGGCTTGGCATTGTCGTTGGCAGCCGCTGTGGGTATTGTGAGCCTTGCTGTCACTAGCCCCCTATGAGGAAACAAGCCCAGGGTTATGCCGATCTCTCTGGTTACATTGAGTCCACCTCAGTCAGGGAAGTCCAAACTGCGGCCCTCCAGCTGTGGTAGAACTACGAATCCCATGATGCATCTTTCTCTGGGAGTCATGTCTGTGAGAATCTTGCAAAGCCTCATGGGATTCGTAGTTCCACCCACAGCTGGAGGGCCGCAGTTTGGACATCCCCGACCTAAGTCATCATAACAATGGCCAGGCCTGATGAGGAGGGAGAGCTTCCACCCGAAACACGTTGATCACATTACGGACCATTCAAGAATATTGGACTCATTTTGTGTTTTGAGGCTTAGAGTCACGTTCCTGGTACCCACCAAGGAGATCCTCGCTGTACTGGAGCGCCCCCCCCCCCCC